ATTAATTTTGTTGTGAGAATTTCAGTTTAATAACGGATAGATATTTAAATATAATTGATCGTTAAGCAATACATTTGAATGTCTCATTTTGTTAATCTCCATGGCTTCCAATAAATTTAATTTTCTACTTTTTGTGGCTGTATGTAAAATATCAAAATTATGATATTTACAATTTTTTTGACAACACCACATCTTTATAATGTAATATTTACAAACTAATATATATATATATATATATATATATATATATATATATATATATATATATATATATATATATATATATATATATATATTACAAACAAATATCATAATTTCAATAATTTCAAATATCATAAATATCATAATTTTGATATTTTACATATAGCCACAAAAAGTAGAAAATTAAATTTATTTTACGCCGTGGAGATTAACAAAATGAGACATTCAAATGTATTGCTTAACGATCAATTAGATTTAAATACCTCTCCATTGTTAAACTTAAATTCTCACAACAACATTAATTAAGATTTTATTGTCATTTCTCCGTATATGTAGTAGCAGATAGTTTGTAAATATTAAGATCAAGAGACGGTGTTGTCGAAACAATTTCGTGAAATTCTGAACTTTTAGTTCTTCTTTATTTTAAATATTCTTAAATTTTTATAATAATTATAATATATAGTTCCGGATGGATTTGGTTAGTTTTGCTGGATTAGTTGTTTTAACGTGTATTTTTCAAATTTCATCAAAAATTATTTTTATTTTAAGGAAAATTAGTAGCGTACGATCATCGTCTGTCAAAGTATACAGATTGGATGTCCTAATAACGCCACTGCCACCAATACCCTCACATGGTCATTAAAATGTCTGTGAGAAATATTTTGAGATTTATTTTTAAAATCTTGATCTACCTGTATCTCACGGGTTAAGATGTTTGATGTTCTTACGTTTTCTTCTAAGAACGGACCCATAATTTACCCAATTAAATATTAACATTCATTTAGAAAACGCTCTGTAATTCCAAGCCTAACAACCATAACCAATTAATTAGTTAATTAACTAATATTAATATATTAGCTTCCTCCTTAATGACAGTTATTGTGCATGTACTCCCTCCACCTCCAAGTGGTTTCGGCTATTTGATGACCTAAGTATATTATAATTATTTTTTTTTTTTAATTTCCAATGATTAAGAGTGAAGTGTATGCCGTCGTGATCGCATTGTCTTTTTTAAATAGCCATATGGGTGTATGATCTTTAAATGTGTAGAAGAGTCTTTGGCGTCTAACCTTTTGGAAGCATTTAAGTGCTGGAGGTACTGCTTCAACGAGAGTACCGAGTGCGGCACTGATTCTTGCCCGTTTCTTTCACTACCACGCCTCCTCTCACGAAATGCTCGACGCTGAAACGGCGACGTCGAGGCGGCCGGCGCATCGTTGCTCTTGCTTGGTGGTACGCTGTTTCAGTACTATCCCGGCTCAGTCTGTTCGAAGACGCGTTCCTCGCGCGGTCACATTTCGCGTAGCATTCGGTGGTGGTACTTTGTAGTCGATGCGACAGGTTGGTTGTCTCGTTTCGCTTGAAAATTTTGGAAAAAGATTTTTTTTCGGAAAGTGCATTGCGACGGGAGAGTGACGTTACTGTACGGTAGGACGTAAAACGCGTGCTTTGATTGAAGTAACAAATAAATTAAAGTAAAATAAAATATATTGCGGGGCATAGAAATTGTAACACCCAGTAAATGTAAATCTAATTTGTTTTATATTTTGGTATTGCGGACGGGCCAAGTTAGACCTACTAATAATCATTTATTTCGATAAAAAAGATGTATACATGAAATGTGTGAAATATCACCTCAGACCAATGGTCACATAGATTGGCTCTCATTAAACCAGTTAATGGTTCTGGTTCAAAACTCATTATTTCGTCTCGAGTGTTCTGCTTCAGTTTTCTTGTCCCTGGTTTATTAAAATACAATTTGACTTTTAAATATGTGCAGAAAAAGTCGGGTGCTGTTAAATCAACCTAAAAAAGTTCCATAAAATTTTCGAAATCAAAAATTTGAGGCAATGGATCCATAGTTTGTCTAGCAGTTTTTCCATCTTGTTGAAACTGCAAATTTCAACAATTTTCGATCATTGTTTAAGAAGCTCTGGAAATCGTTTCCGGTATTCCATTCCTATTCTCGAAATAATATGAAGCGATAACTCTACTGGCTATACTCTATAACATTTCAGTAAAGGATACATTTAGTAACAACTGGTGTTTTTGTCTTTTGATTTTCAGAGCCCCAAAAATCTACACTTTTGTCTAAATGAAAACTCGCTCCATCCCACATCAAAACATTATTTAACAAATCGAGTTTAATTTTTGTATTCGTACAACTTAAGATCTAACTTTTTGGCTGAAATGACGGCTAATTAAGACAGAAGCATCATCTGGCACAGTTTCAGTTTCGATATTTATATCAAAAAATAAAAATGTTGTTTTGTATGTAAAATTGGTAGGTCTTTTTTTTTGGTCCACCTTGTAGTCGCGCCTCTACTTAACTTATCACTGGCTGTAGTATAGTCTCCCATGATAATCTTGCCTAAAGTCGTAGACCTGTGAAATCCTATACATGTTCAAATTTGGTTATATTGTGGGTCAAGATAGAAAGGTTACATTAAATTGTCGGGGGAAGTTTCTACTAACCGCATTGATATGTGCTCTGGTATTGGATGAGCGTTTATAGTTCTTTAAAGAAAAAACTACTTCCAACTATTACATCATAACTCCCCTAGTAACCGCAAAATTGAAGTTGGCGACTTTTTCAGACACCAACACTCTCGATTCCAGTGAATCAGTGACACGTAGCTGTCTATACTATTGATTATTGGCAATACCAACCGAAGACGGTATGACCTCTAATTCTTCTGTAGATTGATATAAGACTCAGCCCTCCAAGTCTAAGGTTTGTGCCATTCCGGCCAATTTTGTTTCCACTTTCCCGAAATGATATTCCAGCTTCTCGTAGGCCTACTATGTCTCGTTCAAATTCACTTAATCGTGTAACGATGTTTTCATTGTCCCACAGGCAATGAAACTCCAAGCAAATCCTTAATACAAAAACAATTAATAAAATACCAACACTTCATGCGTGCCATCAACTGACAAAACGTTATACTGGTTTATACTGGGTGTTGCGATTTGTGTTGCGCGTATAGTATATTAAATTTAAATCGAAGTAAAGAAAGAACTTGATATTCCGGACGCGCCCAAACAATCAATAACCAACCTGTGCCGCACTGACCCGCAATTATAGCGATTATAAAAACAAACACCTATCGAGACGAAATCGGGACACCAGTGGCACGTTAACTTTTTCCGGCCATCGCAAACAGACCGTGACGATTTACATTGGATTTCGATTAACCGTTTAATTATACCATGGACTGTGGTGCGGTGTGAGCCAAAAAAAAACATGTCCGCCACGCAGAAGAACAAGTACGTCGGCGGCCCCTTCGTCAAGAAGATCAACGAGACTCGCAAAAAATGGTGGGGGAACGATACGAAACAACCGAAAATGGTATCCAAGAGGAGCCATCAAACGGACGACGAATCCGACTCGTTGCAAAGCGAAAAACTTCGCATCGTCATTAACAGTTTCGATAAAATTCTAGATGAATACGGTAGCCTAAGCCCGACGAATAGATCGGTCCAGGACTCTACGGATTTCCTCCCTTCGCAAAGCGAAGAGTTCAGCCCGAATCTTGCCCTCCCGCTAAGTCAATCGACGCCTAAACAAGCCCCGGTTCCTAAATCTGCCACGAAAATTCCTAAACTCCTCAAAGCCAAGACGTGTAGCATCATCGAGTCCAAATGCATCCTGAAGAAGACCATATCGAATCCGGGCGCTTCGACGTCTTCAACGGACGACAAATTGGCGATGAAAACCAAAAGCCTCACGGATGTCAGTGTCACGGAACACAAACAATTCCAGCCGCAGTCCACTATCAAAGTTAAGGATTTGGTGAGACGGATCAACAGTTTAACCGATGAAGCGCCGACACTCTCGAAGGCTGTAAGCAACACGAACTTAAGCCTGTCGAAGAAGCACGGCTCTATAAGCAGAATACCCGTGAACGCTACCTTGAGAAAATCCTTTCCCAGCACTCCGTGCCATCTAGATCGATTAGATGGTAGCGGAGGTGCCAACGGGAGCGCCATTTCTAAAGCTAAGAGTATTCAAAATTTGACGAAACCGAGGCTGTCTCTGCATAAACCCGTCGATCTTGATCGAAGGACGGCTACTGCGGTCGCTTTAAAGCCTAACAACACGAATACCATTCGGAATAAAGAACCGGCTAAGCCCTGCGGGAAGACGACGAGACCTTTGAAGAACGTCCCGGCGAAGGCTAAACAAGACCTGGCAGTGAAGGTTAATGCGATGGGTAAAAGGGCAGAATCTGCACCGGTTAGAAAGGGTTCCTTGGGTGGTGCAGGGCCTAAAGAGGCGCCCAAGCCGACAAAACCTGAATCGAAAGACCAGTCCAATTCGAAAGTGCTGAGGAATCAGACTTTCAAGAAAAGTAACATCAAGACGACGGTCAAGGCAGACGCTAGGCAGTGTAGCCCGGTCAGGATCAAGCTAGACTTGAAAAAGACCCAAGCGTTTCTCGAAAAGGTATCGCCGATGGACGCGGACAAGTTTTACCTCGACCCTGACGATTTCGTGGGAGACAAAGTTCAAGGGACCAGCGTCGATAAAAAACTGGACTACAACTCCGACGATTCCGGTAATATTTCGAACGACATCGATTGTGACGAGATAAACTCGACGTCGTCGGTTAGAAGTCGGGTTAGTAGCGATTCGTTGTCGACGGTCCTGGACGTCTGCAGTACCGCCGGTTCCAGCGACGCTGGCGTCGAGTTGTGCGAAAAGGACAGCACGAAAGAGGTTAACCACCGATACCATTATGTTGATTTTGCACCGTGGTATCTTCTGTTGCTACATGTGGCACTGTTTTTGTTTGCAGATCTTCTTCAGGACGGGCGTGATCTCGCATTTGGAAGCGCAAAGGGACGAGCGTCTCGCCGGAGTGGTTATTGCCCTCCAGGCGCACTGCAGAGGCTATTTGGCACGGAAGCGGCTGCAAAAGAAGAAGCTCGAAGATCTGGCGGTGAGATGTATCCAACGGAACGTCAGGAAGTTCATGTTAGTGCGGGACTGGCCCTGGTGGAGGCTTCTGGTCCGGGTCACCCCGTTGCTGAACGTTCACAGGACCGAACAGGAGCTGCGCACCAAGACGGTAAGTGCACCGCAGGTCATATTAATATGTATCGAATTGTTATTCGTCACGGACAGCGAATTACGTTGAGGAATTAGCGCCGACCGAAATACTTTTATCGGGCTGAGGTCAATTGGCCTCGTTTTGCGTCTTTCTCTCTCTCACATAAATCTTAAATCTGATTAGTTTGGGTCGGTTCGAAAGCGTAAATCGTCGTTTAGATAAATTACACCGGGCGCAAACGTTTCACTATGGCACCGTTGCTGCTTTGGATGCGGTTTATTGACATGCAGAAGGAAGAAACGATTCTCGGAAGTTTCAACGTGTGTACGCGTCGTAATTTTTTATGGCACCTTCGACGCGCGCTTTCTCGTCAATCGACGTCTGAAACCGATAAAAAATTACGAAACGCGTTACGTTTCTCTCGCCCGGTCCTTACCATCTTCGGGCGATCGAAGCGGACGGACGAGACGGTGTTAACGGCCTTTTTCTCTAGTTTTTTTTTTTCGTACGTACGTCCGCCGACGGACAGGTTAAAACTTTCTCCCGCGCGCGTAAACGCGGCGAAAGATTATACCGCACCGCACATTCGAACTTGTTACTTTTGAAAAATCGATTAAATCGAATTTTTCTAAGTATACGCGCTTGGCAACGAAACTTATATCTCGGAAAAAAATTTTTTTTTCTGTTCTCCGCTTCCCTGTAGACCTTTCATTAATTGACTATATCTTTTGAACGGTTTGCAGCACGGCCTTTAAATTTGGCTCCTTTTAAGCCGTCCACGAGTTACGCAAACCAGTAAAAAATGAGTCTGATCAAACCAAGGCGTCCATCTTTTTGTTTAGATTTTCGGCGATTTTTTGGGCATTGCTATGGAACACGATAAGTGTCCCAAATTTGAAGCCACTTAAAATTTGACAGCTTAGCTCCCCAACGAAGCCTATTTAAACAGGGGGGTAGGGGCTGTGGGGTCGGGAAGTATTTTTAGAAATTTAAAAACTGAATTTGTAGGGTATCGAGAAAAAAATCATTTCTCCAAGTCGGTATATGCGATCGAAAAAATTCTTTAACCAAACGACGCCCAAGATCAGAAACAAAAACCTTTATTCTTGATGATTTTTTAAAAATGTGCAGCGTGCGTCGGTAATTTACAAAAGACTCCCTTTATATTGATAATTGACCATAACTAGAAGGCTGTGATTCTGTTGACAGTTTCTTTCACATTTCTATATGAACAGCTAAAACTTTTGTATCTAAAGTTTTCACATTTTGTACAGGGTGTTCGGAATATTCTGTGCTATATTCTAAAATGTCATAGGTGTCTCAAATATGTAGTCATCGACTTCAAATTTGGCAAGGAAGTAAAAGTCCGTACGCACATCTAAGCAATAAAAATTGAGCATAATAAAATGTCACCAAATATTTTTTTAAACATTTTGCAAAATTTTCTTTCAATTGTGGACAAAAAGCTAAAAGACCGTGAAAATTGTACTTTTTTGGAATAAATGAATAAACCGCAAATCATAATTCGTAAAAAATATGGTCAATCGGTTCAAACAGGATTATAGACCGCATGAAGAGCCACAATTTTTGTATTTGCGGTTTTCGTCTATCACATACGCTGCTCGGGATATTTGAAAAAATCCATATGAAAATCGCTGATTCTCAGTCCCAATTTAGACGCAATGACGTTATTGAATATTACGGCGGACTGCATAGTTTCAGAAAGAAATTATTTTCTCGAAAACAATTTACTCTATTGAAAAAATTGTTGGACCAGGAAATGTTTGAGAGCCAGGACTAAAATTTCTATTTGCGGCATTTTTTCAATTATGTACAGGGTGTGTCGATTATGGACAAAAAATCAAAAAGACCCTGAAAATTGCCGGTTTTGTGGGTATATTATTAGCTGGTAATAAAAAAACTATAAAAAAAGAAGTAATTTGGTTTAAACAGTATTGTAAACTGCATCCAAAGGTTTCGTTTATTATACAGGGTGCGCGAGGTATTTAAAAAAAAAAACATTACAAATACCTGTTATTTGTACAAATTGCAACATTTATCAAAGTTTGCCGTTTCTTTGAAGTTCGGCGAGACTTAAAAAAATGCTTTTTACATAATGGTCCGCAGGAGGAATATAGAAAAAGAATGCGTCCCTCTAGGATAAGAAACCGCGAAGCGCTTTGTTTTTAAAACAAAAAGCTGCTTTGCGCTACGCACTACGAAATTGCCCCGCCCTCCGACGATTTTTTGAAAGCAATCTTGTTACTTTAGAAAAATCGATGAAATAGAATTTTTCGAAAGTATACGCGCTTGGCAACGAAACTTGTATCTCGGCAACGGGAGGTCCTAGGGGACTCCTATTGGTGCAGCAATGATCAGCGTCGAAAAAAAAAATTGTTTTTATTTTTGTCAGTCCGTTCTCTGTTCTCCGTTTCTCTGTAGACGGGGCATTAATTTGCGATAACTTTCTAACTGTTGAGCCAGGGTATTCAGATTTAGCTCTTTTAAAAAAGTCCATAAGACACATAAGTCAATAGAAAATGGATCCGTTCAAATAACGGCGTCTATCTTTTTTTTAGATTTTCGATTGTTTTTTGGACATTGTTATGAAACACGATAAGTGTCCGAAATTTGAACCTATCCAGTTCAAATTTGGCAGTTGAATAACGTTTGGTTCCCTAACGGAACCTATTGAAATTTGGGGGGGGGGGGGGGGGTTGTCGGGAAGTATTAAAAAAAAAAATTGCGTTTGTATTTCACCTATCGTAAAGGGTGTTCCCCATAGTCCGTGCTATATACGAAATATGATAAGTGTCCTAAATTTGCAGGTATCGACTTCAAATTTAGCAAAGAAGTAAAAGTCCATGCCCACATTTCAACAGTGGAAATTGGGTGCAATCAAGTTTCGCCAAGTATTTTTTTTTATTTTGAAATTTTTTTTTTGGTTATTTTGGTTTCCAGAAAAACATGCTTTTCTTCATAACCATTGACCGGATCGTCAAAATTCTTTAACCGGCATATGTGGAAGATCCAGTGCTATAATATTTGTTTCAGGCATTTTTTCGGTTATATACATGGTTTTAAAATTATAGACAAAAATCTAAAAGACCCAGAAAATTGTTCTTTTCCAGAGTAAATTACTAACCGCTAATCATAAATTGTAAAAAATATGGCCAATCGGTTCAAACAGTGTCAAAGCCCGCATCAAGAGCCACAATTTTGGTATTTACATTTTTCGTCTATCACACACGCTGCTCTAGATATTTGAAAAAATCCGTATGAAAATCACTATACCTCGGGTTGAGTCAAAACGCGATGACGTCATTGATTATTAAGGCGCACTGCGTGGTTTCGGTTATTTTTTTGAAAACCATTTAGTCCATCGGTAAAATTCGCGGACCAGGAAACGTGGGAGATCCAGGGCTATAACCTCAATATACAAAATTTTTTCAGATACTTGGGAAAATATCATTGGAAATCGCTATCATTTGTACAAATTTTTATATTTGTTATAATTTGCCGTGGCTTTGAAGTTTAGCGATACGTGGGAGACTCTTTATACAGGGTGTATGCACAATATAATTACAGCGTTTTTGCGGACGTTCCATTGTGGTCGGCAGGAGCACGATAGAAAAACAATGCGACCCTTTTTTGACAAGAAACCGTAAAGCTGCTTTTTTTGAAATACAAAGCTTCTTGGTGCTACGAACTTGCCCCGCCCAGCGACTATATTTCGAAAGCAATCTTGTTCGTATTGGGTTATGCGCCCGGCGTTGCGAATGTAGAGGACGCTTCGATCGATTCCGACGAATAAAACAAAAACCATCTGTACTAAACAAAAGACGCCTTGGAACGTCAGGGTCAGGGAAACTTGGTGCGGGAGGTGGGGAGTTATTTTAATACACGGTGCTAATTTTGAGGCATGTCTCTCAGCGTGAAATAGGAAAAAAAAACTATTACCATGTGTTCGAAAACCTTTGTTTCCTGATGTACACAGTGAGTGTGAGTCGAAAAGATGGTCCAACGCATTAATCAATCTTCAAACTTTTGCATTGACACTTTTTTTTCTATCTTTCAAAATTAACCCTACAGGTGGATGTCAAAATATAATGAATAACCCTATACGCCCACAATAAGCTTTCGTCGACGTTTTGATTAACTTTTATATCGCGCGGGTGGATGCGGGGTAGCGTGCCGGAAGATGTTCGCTTTCGAGGCCAACGATTTTTCGCTATTCCGCGGTGCTCGATTTTTTTCTGTCTCTCGAACCGTCCAGCCCCGGGTTATTCGAAATTGCGAATTCCGATGCGGTGTACGCTATTTTTTTTCATCATTTTCGCTGCGCGTTACGGAGATAAGTAGACGCGCCTCAGGATACGCTTATTACGGGAAATGGACGGGTACCCGTTGCAGGAACGCAAAAAAACGACTCGCGCTCTAGCGGCGGGTTTCGCTAGGTTTTTTAGTACCGCGCTCCGAAGAGCCGTCCGTCTTGGCCATAGAGAACGCCAATGAAAAGAAAGTAACGAATTAAATGATAATAATCGGGGTATAGTATGACTATAGATCTACATTTTTTCGAAAAATCAGTTTGATTTCAGTTACGAGCGAATTCCAATTGATAAAATATCTATTACCTCAAAGAACCGTACTTGGACCAATTCTCTTTAATATCTATTATAACGGGCTTTTCAAGTTAAACATCAAAGGACGGACCTCAATTATTTATAGTGCAGTAAATTGGACAGAACTTAAGTTAATCACTGAACAGGACTCACCTAACGTGAGATGTTCAGATCGCATCTGTTGTGAAAAAGATTAGAGCACTTTTAGGCAGATTCAAGTTTTTTCTTCGATCTTACCGAATTGAAACTGCTCTCTCATGCACTTGTTAAAACCCATATTATTTATAGTATAACCGCTTGGGGAGATGCATCTCTCTATCTAATTAGAAAAAAAAAGAAGCAATTTATAAGGAAACAGTGTTCTTTCCGACACAAGAATTGTATGATTTGGCAAAAGTTCTCGTTTCCCGTCAAATATACTGTTGTATAACTTCCTACCTGAAGATAATAAATAACAAAATTCGTTAAGTTTATTAAAAAAAATGTAAACTTTGGATAACCGAAGAACCACGTAAACTTATGCACGATTTCATAGATTCTCGAAATAAGTATTCATTATTTGAATTATTATTTATTTTATGCAATTAATTTATTTTTTAAATAGATTTTGTTTAAATAAGTCATTTAACTGTTGTTGGCTCAATTAATATATTGTTTATATATATTGAAACTATGTTAGTTACGTAATAATTTTTTTCTACTCCCGTCTGTAAAATACCTAATTACCCACCGATCTAGCGTGCGGGAAGCGTCACTTTACCACGTCAGTTTCTTTGCCACGAATCCCAGCCACTTCGGACATTTCCGGGATTTTACCGCACGGATTTGGGAGCAATCGGATGTTTTCGGAGATATTTCCCACGGTCATGTCAGTGAATGTATTCGTATTGTTTTGCGAAAATGTAACCAAAAACTAACGGTTGTAGAAAAAGTATAGTATGCAACACGTTCAGTAAACTTTTTAACTCACTCGTTTATTAATTAATTAATATACTATAATTCTATCGTTGATGTTGGTGGTGCCATAGACAATCGTGTTACAAGTTCGTGAAAAATATAATATATTAATTAACGCTGTCCACTCTCAAGAGATTTCTTTAGTGGGTTTGTTTGTATTATATTCCCCGTATTATAAAAAAGTAAAACAACTGTATATTATTTTATGTTGTATTATTATTATTAATAGGTCTAGGACCTGTTCAGTTCAGTACGTGGTTCCACCTTTTTCTTGGTTGGCCATAATACTCTGTTCTGTTCCTTTGGACCCATAAGCTAACTTTCTGGATATAACACATATCCCTGATATCTTCTCTCTCAATTCTATCCGTAACATCTGATGTTTTTGTGGTATCAACTCTTATTTCTCTTACAGATGCAAAATTTTGTTTCTGTTGGCAAAAACTTCGCGTTCGATAACACCGCAACGTTGAAGTATAGTAGTTTAAAGTATGACTTCTTCCGTGATTATCTTGGTGCTTGTTATTTGAATACCAAGGTAGTTGAAAAATGGCACTTGTTCAGCTATAGTGTTGTAAAGTCGGAGCTTACAATCGTGAGAGTTTTGGTATTTTTTGTAACAACTAGAGCAGAGTCGTCGGCGTAAGTTGAGTTAACTGGAATCATTTCCTAAAACTTCTCTCGACTCTCATTGATTTTGCTTTTTCTTGCGAGATAACCGTCCTTGCTCAAATTTCTTGAAACCTAATGCCAGAAAATTAGTTCGACCGATATATTTACTATTAATCTACAACTCCAACTCTCTTTTTCATGGTCTTGGCGAAATGATTGACATTTTATATTGACATCACACTTTAATTTAAGAGAAAGGAACATTGAATTGGAACAATTTATTTAAATGTGAATAATATATTTGAATTCATTTAACTCTGTCTTTATAGGTGAAGGTGCAAAAGTGTTGTTTGTAGACTTGCAATCTTGTTTTTTGAACTATAAAAGAAAAATGGCCACAATCATGTTTTGAATAATACGCGCAGTTTGTATAAGGAAATGATAAACGTTTTGATATCATCAATTTTTCCATTTTTCTTCGTATCTCGGAAAATACGGGTGCTACCCAAAATCTAATTATACCATCTTTCAAGTCTCTAAAAGTAGGTCAATAATGTGCGAACGGCCTCTTTGTATTTTTAATAATAACGAACACATCAGATCCCGTTTTGGCGATATAAACCTCCGTATAGTAGTGTCGTTTATTATTTTAATATTGACAGTGCAAAAATTGTCAGAACGTTATCGCCTTCGTGATCTCGATTTACGCCGTTTTGCGTTAAAAAATGGAACCGGTCTTGCGGTACCAAGGACGGTACGGGTGCGGCACCCTTTAGAAATGCGGGTCGAAAAAAGCTTTCCGATGACGAGGAGAAAAATTGTCTACTTAATAAATTGTTTTAAAACGGCGCGTTTTTCGCATAGAAAAGTTTAAACTTTTCTCCTTTCCTTTCGCAGGAAGAGCTGGAAGCTTTGAAACTCAAGTTGCAAAAGATCGAAAATGAGAGGACATCGTTGCAGCACGAAACCGATAAGCTGGAAGCTAAGGTGAGTGATTATTTATTTTCTCTTTTGGTTACAACAGTGTCCTTTTAAATATATACTAGTATCTGTATGACTACATAATATTAGGCGAGGCTTTGTTATCAACAAAGCAAAAAAGAAATAAGAAAAAGATGCGTATAACACTTACCATCAACACTTTTTCAAAATAGGCATTTGTAAATCGGTCGTCGGTTTGTTGTTAACGGTAGAAACGTACACAAACCTACTGGTTAGTTGCAAAAATTAAAAACCAAATTAACAGATTTATACATATACATACATTATACAATAATACATTAAACATTATTTATTGGCAGTGGAAAAATGTAATAAAAGTAGTTGGAAGTAATAAGCGAAAAATATGAAGTGCTTCCGGTCATTTTTATTCTAAATATGCCCAAAATGTAATGAAAAAGATCGAAATATTTCATGCATTTTTAAAATAGAAACTTAACGATGCTGCTATGCCCTTAAGCGTACCCCATTCGATTTTTAGGAAAAACGAAATTTCAAAGCAAACCAATAAAAAACACAGGCGGAGGCAGTTTCTTCTTCCATAATTGCGACGTTTATCATCGTAAGGGCTTAACCCGATCTTCTTTTGGGATACTATGTGCAACTCCAGTTTGCTCGCTCTTATTAAATTCTGCGATATGTTTTTTATACAATTTTTTTGCAAACAATCGACGAAATCTTCAATAGTTATCTTAGTTTTGATGAAGTTTTTAGATTCACTTTCAAATTCTTCGCGATTTGTTTCTGCGGCCATCAATTCTTGCTTTGCGGCCTCTTCTTCCCTCGGTTGTTTTATGTAATCTGCGTACATTTTAGCTCTAAATCCGACAAAATGAGACATAATTCGTCCATTATTCTCATCCTTCATCAGACCCAAAACCTTTTTATTGACTCTGGGTAATATCGTGAAGGCAAAGAAAAAGTAAAAAAAATATGTATACGTTTTAAGGAAAGTGAAATCAAGAAAAGAGTACAAATTAGATCAAGAGAAATAATGATAATCGAGAGTACAGTGTACACAGTGTGCCAAATCAAACGATCCACTATTCGATATTATTCGTACAACTCTCCTAAAGATTTAAAATATTATCATTTTGTGGATACAGGTTGTCCCAAAAGTGTCTCCCCCCCGCCCCGACCGGACATCAATTTTGTTATTTTAAATGTATATTTCGACATTTTTGGAATATTTGGTTAAAATAAAGGTCACTTTCTTAAGAAATTCCTATTCGAATTTTGCATAGTTCAGGCAGAAATTGAGGTTATGTTTTTTTTTTTTCATATTTTGATTGCCCCATATAAAATTTTATTGCGACGCTAATGATCCAGGTATTGCAACGAAAATTTAACCAGATTCATTCATTTCATTTTAGTAGTATTATAAGGGATAAAATTGTTGGTCCCATTTTTTTTAGATCTATTTAACTGACAGAATTTTTTAATTTTGCTTCAGAATATGCCAGAAGTAAAACAACCTGTTGGACAACCCGCCGGAGAAGATTATATTTCAGCAAGATATCGTGCCCTGTCCTTGTGGCCAAGTGATAAATTTTTTAAGAGTAGATTTCCAAAATATAAATCAAATCAATCAAAATTAAAAAAAAAAACACACGCAACCTCAATTTCTGCCTAAAATAAGTAAAATTTAAATAGGAATTTCTTTAGAAAGTGACCTTTATTTTAAAAGAATTCCAAAAAAGTCCCTGTTCCATTTAAAATAATAAAGTGTACATTCCTACTTCTAGGTAACAGATCGTTCTTATGGGAACATATTGGCACAGGGCGGGTAACAAAAGCTAACGAATATATTCTTTGAATTCTGTTTTAAATTTGCTAAAAATAAACCCCTGCTCTAGACAACTCGGATATTTAGTTCGTTTTAATCGCAAGGCCGCCACCAACAAATTCACATTCTGAATGCGTCTGATACTAGTTGCCTCGTTGCTAGTTGGTAATTTTGCGGTTTATACGATCCGTGGGAAGCCATTTGCGTTTATACTTATTCAATGGGCAGTGCCATCAAACATAGCTACGGTTCTAGGTTGTTTTGGATGTATGTAGAACAAACAAATACTACAGGTATTTTGTCCAATCCGGATTGGCCTTCCTAGACGTCCTGTCTCGAAAAGAACAGAAAAATGTAAACAGTAAAGGATAGGGTGTTGATTGAGTCTTGATTACAAACAGATGCAAAAATTTGATTTATTATTAAAGTCTATTTCAGAAAGGAGTGGAGTTATAGAACCTCAGGTACTACCCTCTCCAACGAATACTCTGTCATTGTTTGGCATTGATTTCTGTATGTTACAGAAATTAAATTACAAAGAATCATAATATTTTCATCTCATTTGAGAAACTCTTCTTGATGTAATAATCAACGTGCAGACGACCAGATCGATCGATCTTTTCTTTTTTAATGAGATGTTTGTTTTTCGATAAGTTTGGTAGTTCTTTGAGGAAGCTTAATGCCTATTGAAAGACGGCCCATGAAAACCTAGCTTGGCAAGCATTGGTTATATTTTTGTCTTCCCCCATTTTAGGTACTAGGTATATTCATTCATCATCACATCCTTTTGAAATTCATTAGCGTCTTATCTAGGGTGGGTGATTAATTCTTTTTTAAAATAATAAGAGTGAACTTTTCTTTAGACGTTTTGTCTCTCTCTCCCTCAATAATTTAAAAACAGTCTACTTTCCAACACTAGTCATCCGGGAATATCGATCGACAGATTCATCGGGCAATCGCATTTTATGAAATCATGGAAATAATGGAGAATTATGGAAATACCTTTTCTTTGCTGTTCATGTTGCCATTTTATTACTATTTTTATAATACTGTGAGTACTACGGTTTAGCAGGAGATACTAATGCTTTAAACTAAACAAATAGACTTATTGAAGCCTTGAAGTAAGTATATTTTATTTAATCGGTCATTAAAATGTCATAAGCAATAATGAGGATGAGAAGTAGATAAAAATAACAATGAATCCTATTTTTTAGTATGCGATTTACAATTGAGCGGGACTGAAGGGAATTTCCTTTTACTACTCAACACTTCTTAAATAGTCTATAATTTCATTTTAAATCGATATTTGTTTAATTCCGTAGCAAAGGACAAAGAAAAAAAGCAAGGTAATTTAGATTAGTTTACAACTTACACATCATGTTCGGAAAATTCGTTACATAAGACTTTGAAATTCGGTATCGTCAAAATAGTACGTAACGAGCTTTAAATAGTACAATCTGCGAAACCGTTAGGCGAAAATAACTAACGATCGTGCGGGCGCTTGTGTCACAAATTAAAACAAAAAATATACTCACGAACCCGTTATTTGGGAAATGCTCGCGGACGTATACTGGACACGTACGTGCTAGCTCGTGCGACGTGTGTCGAAATGACGTTATAATTATGCGGCCAATTAATCAAACGCTTATTTGTAAGTCCGAAATGAAATATGTCCGTATATTCATGTGCTTTTAATTCGAAGGTATCCATGCAAAATGAATATATATTTCCTGCTAGATTTAAATCAATCATACATTTTTATTTTGGTTAGTTAGTTAGTTAAGTAATTTAAAATACACAGAAAGTGCATATCAATATTTACTGTGGGACATTTCGTTGAAAATTTGACGTTTAACCGACGTTTGTGACCTATCGCTTCACCAAAATAAAGTATGTTTCATGAAAGAATTTTCCTGGCGGACGAAAAATAATAAACAATAATAATAAACAATTATATAGTGATTAAAAACGTATATTAACAGACAGGTTGAAAAATAAACTGGAATTCTATCAGTCCATGGAGCAGGCGGTTTTTGGCGGCGGATACAGAACGCGTGATCACCTACAGTGTTTAAACGCGTTAACTGGTTCTTTGTGGACTTTCAGTGTTCGACACAGTTGAATTACCTGCTCTCCTCAAAGCATAGACCACAAATATTCAGATCTGAGTGAGAACATCTATGAAAACGTCACATCAACCATATGATTACAATCAGGAGAGGTATAATACAAGGCGACATCCTGTCATCGAAATTATTTATTACAGTCTTGGAATACGCGTTTAAAATGTTGAACCTGCATGGAAAAGGTATAAATATTGACGGTGATTGTTTGACTCGTCTCTGCTTTGCAGATGATATAGTCCTCATAAGGGACATGCAACTACAACATGCCATATACTATCTGAAGACCAAAATAGTCAACAAATAGACCATAGAATAGAACAAATGGTAGACCAATATACGTACTCGGGGGCCATGAGTAGACCCAACCAGACAGCGGAGCTGACTCAAGAGAATATTTTTATGATGGGCGGCATATGGAAAACTGAGAGATATCTTCAAGGCTGATATATCCATTGCCCTTAAAATAAAAGCTTTCAATCGGTGCGTCTTGCCCGTCTTCATATATGGAGCGGAAACGCTAACACTCACAAAATACTCTAGAATTAAAATTGTGAAGAACCCAAGTGCTGGGACTAAATCTCAGAGATAGTATTAAAAACGAACAAATTGGCCATAGAACAAATGTGGAACATATCATAGAACATATCTCAATAGCAAAGTGGCAATGGGTGGAACACATTGCGAGACTACAGGACGGTAGATGGACAAAGAGAATACTAGAGTAAAGATCTCAAATGGGTAAACGAGGCATAGGCAGACGCCCTACGAGATGGACCAACGATCTCAAGAAAATGAGTGCACATTAAATGCAGATAGGACAGATTAAGAGAGAATGGCAAAAGACTGTTAAAGGCGCATGTTTGAAAATGGACAAGAGACGAAGGCTGATAATTTTGTTTGTTTGCGTATGAAACGGTCTACCGCCATTCTGAGGCATGGAAGGGAGCAAAACCCTGGAATCAATCACCTTGCTGCTTGGTTACAAGACAGGACAAATGCACGTCAATAGTGGTCCCCTACAGAATGAACTATTAAAATTCACAATAAACTTTAATTAAAATTTAAACTAAATTTTG